CATCTGCTTGATACTGAAGTTCAATTCCAGTTCTTGCTGAATTACTTTACTACGCATTATTCTAATGTTGATGAGGGAAGACAGAGAAATGAGAAGTTTCAGCAAAATAAATGCCTGTAACCTTACAAACAATTCACATGCGGAATCATCTCTGCTCATCTAATGTAATTTGTGCACTACAGAATTTGGGCAACCTACCTTGGCTACAGACAGAAATCAAACAACTCTCCTCCACCAAAATGACTCAGCAGGGAGAAAGACATTACTAAAATGTCTATCAAACTCAGTGTTCATAAGGTGCTCTGAAGAGGTTCTACCTCACAGACACAGCTTGGCAACACGTGTCACTTAGAGCTTCTTCTCAGATATCTATGCTTATGAGAATTTCTAAAAGACCAGAGGCAAAAAATTAACTCTGGCAAGAAGAAATTAGCAAACTCTCCTCCATCTGCTTATCCCAAGGCAACCTGAGCCTGATTCTGGAAACATTAATCTATTCTCAGCAGATCTTCTCACATAAGGACCGCGGAACACAACCTAAACAACCATTTTTTATAACTTTTATTCTAGTATTCAGAATCTTCTTTATCTGCCTCTGCCTTTGCCACAAGCAACCATACAGAATTGGGTCTATAAATTTGCTCAGCCTCATGTTCTCCTGAGCTCTCCAGGACTATAGACTGATGTCTAAGAAGAATTTCCTTTTCACCCTTTGGGAATAAAGGTAGAAATTCTGTTCAGAAAATAACTATATATGTGTTCACTCAAAATAATATATAGGCTACTGATATCATCTACAAAAACAAAGAACATTTGTACAAAAAGAAAAGCTGATCTTGTGACTCTTGAATTTTAGCTATGAGGATCTGCATCACTCCTTGTAGCTATCTCATCATGGAAAAACACCTTACGGGTAATTTTTTTCCTTATCCCCTTTGGCTTGAGTGTGTGCTCCAGGCAGCAGGCATGCCCTGTTGCCCTGTGCTCTCTTTGCTTGCTGGCAACCTCTTCCAGCCAGCCAAGCCCCTGGCAAGATCTCCTTTCTCTTCCCCATCCCAGTGGGCACATCTCTGCCAGACAGCAGCAACCAAGACAAGATAGACATGTACATCTCTTTTGACAGCAAAAGTTGTGTAAAGCAATACTAGGAATACAGATCTTGTCCAGTAACAGGGTGTAGCCAACCAGCCTAAGCACCAAGCTGTGGGCTCTGCAGCCTCATGCCCATGTTGTGAGTGAGAGCAGAGGTGATGTCAGATGGTAAGACACAACAGGACACAGCCAGCATTGGCACAGCCTTCCCCAGCGCTTTCTAAGTTTGCCTCAGACATGGGTCAGGCCACGACTATTGTAGAACTCCTTTGTGTGTACCCAGCCCTCTTCAAACAGGCAGCTCCCATTCTCTGCCATGAGCTCAAGGAGTCCCTATTCAAGGCCACCTTCACATCCCACACTCCAGAGATCACAAAGTAAGTCCCTGCTGCCTCACAGACCACATGGATGAAAGAGCCCTCTGCACCCTCTCCCTTCAACACAGCCGTGCCAAGAGAGAGGTGACTGGTCATGAGCCACAGGGATCCTTAAACTTTTTGCCTGAAAATTTCTCTGTGTTACGAAGAAATAAACAGCAGAAAATAAACCGTACTGGTTTTGCATTTATTCAGACTTTTTTTCACCAAAAAAATCTAAGCCTTTTTGAAAGAGGGGAGAGAACCCTAGGCAAAACAAAACAGTAAACCCACCCAGGGACACTTAGACTACTACATACCTTTGTTTTTTAATTTTTCACTCTCTGGTAAACTGAATTTATAAATTGAAGTGAAGGCAGAAAAGTAATCAATGCTTTCCAGAGCCATTACTGGAAACACCTAATGATAAACAACTCTGTTAGTAAACAAACAAAAAAAAAAGTCTTATCACTGTAGCCTTCTGCAGTGGCATTCTTATAGTGGCTTTACTGACCCTGGTCAATAGAAAGTTAGTTTATGATAATTTAAAAAAGATTATAGTGTTGGCTGTGAAGAACCACAAACAGTGGTAGAACTGGTAGAAAAAATAGGACTGGGGAGCTAAATAGAAATAATGGTTTTAAGTAGTCTGAATGTAACTTTTTTTGTTCCAAATGAGTCTTTTGCCTGTTAAGCTATTTAAAGAGCACATCCTTGCCATCCCAATATACAACTTCTGAAGTACTAAAGGGATATTTTCAATACAGAGCTTTATTTAGCAAAGGGCTTGATCCAAAGCCACTTTATGAAAGGGAATTTTCCTGCTGATTGGAACAAATGAAGCCATGAAACAAGGACAACTACTAAAAGTAGATAGAAAACTAAGAGGAGATATAACAGCAGTAATCAAGTACATAAAAGGTTGCAGGAAAAAGGAAGGGAGCAATCTATTCTCTACTTCCAGAATAGACAGGATAAAAATAACATGCTTAAGTTACAACAAGAAACATTTGTGTTTCGCAAGAAAAAAACCCCAATACCTTGTTAGCAGTAAAGCACTGGACTTTGCTACAAGATGAAGTAGTTGCCTCTTTCCCCACCTTCAGAACAGCTACCAGATAACTGAGGAGTGGCTGAGGCACATCTGGGTCTGTTATGCACTGAAAGTCCCTTACCTGCCGCACTTCTGGTAATTCTCCCATGCCCAATGTTCCAAATTGCAGCAGTTGATTACAGGATGTGAAACCCCAAAACCCTCCACAATCACCAGCACCTAAGTCTCCTCTGTTTCACAGAGAAAGTTATGGGTAATAACAATGCAGTTATCAGCAGTACTCTTAGCCTGAAATGTTGGAGGAGGATGACCATTATGGAAAAAAGGAGCCATAGGAATCTACAACTACCATGAACAAGTAGTAAAAATCTCTGCAGACCTCCTGTTTACAACCTGAGAAGTACCCATCCTGGTTCAGAGTACATGCACCAGTCCAAGTTCTTCAATCAGACAGCAGCCAAACACTTAAGGTATAAGAATGAGGTATCTTCATATACCTCAGAGCTTTCATAGACTATAGCCATGTTGCAGAATTTGTGACAGGGTTACAAGCTGGGCAGAGATAAGAGATAGAGCTGACCCATCTTTTCTTAGAAGCATATGTACCAGCAGACCTGAAGGGACTTCTAGTCTTTTGAGATATATTGCACTAGATGGGAGAGAGGTACCTGCAGAGGAACAACAAAAAATCTGCTGGATGAGGGAGATCGAAAGATGTGACAATAAACCTCCCCTTATCAAAACTGTAATGCTTTTGTCCCAGCCAATTCAACAGACCTTTCTCCAGTATAACTCTTACCTCTGAGCAAGAATTAAATGTGGTTACAGAAACAGGGTCTTCACTCCAATCATTCTTTCAGTGCAAGCAAAGACTTTGAACAGTGTGCTCCATGCCTCCTCTGGAGCTTCAGGGGACTCCCTTCCACTCTTGCCTGCGCCTCCATGGTCTGGCCATGGTCTTTTCCCTGAGACAAGCACCCCCACAGCTCTTCCACTACACCCCTTGATGCTTCTGGCAGACATACACATTGCAGGAAACGGTGTGGCCTTAAAATGAACATTTGTCTAACAGTAAATGAAGCACACAGAAACATACTGAACACTGCCCAGGACATTTAGAGGCCTAATCCTGACTAGAAATGAGACAATCTCTGCATTGTGCCACTTATGAAAACAGGGCTTGAATCTCAGCTAGCATAGGCACCCTTGCACATCCTATTCCACATTTAAACAATAATAAGAGCTGATTCATAAGGAACATTTATGTCTCCTTTTACAGTCCTATTTGCCATTTGGGTGCAAAACATATATATATTGCATAAAGAGTTGCTAAAGAGTTAATCTGCATGTTAATACATAGTAAATCAGTTGTTATGGAGTCCAGTCATTGTGCAGGTGCCTTGCAAGTTTGGCTTGCAGCCATCTACAGCACCTTCAACTGATGAGCTAATAACCTCTGTAACACACACCATCTACTAGTGGAGCCACCTATGCTTTCAATCTATCATTTATTGCCTTTTCTAAACTACAGATAGACCCTTAATATAAAGAATGACCATTTTATGTTTGCTTGCCTGAATATATACGAGCACTCAGCCACATCATTAAAATAATTTTACTGCTAAGGCATACCTAATATTCCAAACAGATAGAGCAGAATTTAAATTAGGGGAGAAAAGAGATGGTGATTCCTTACAAAAAGGTTTGGAGTTGTGACAGGAAAGAAGAAAATGGATTTGTACAAAATAACAAGCCCATAAAAATGTGAACTTTAGTGAAAAGTTTTCTGAGCTTTGACTGAATCTCAGTTCACTTTTAGTTTTAATTATGATTCTGCATTATCCTTGCAATTTCTGTGTTCTCGTGGCCACAGGAGAAAAAGTATTGAAATACCACCACTACCACAGGAGGTGTTTTTTTAAGTCAATGCCAAAGCTTAAACAAGGTTTCTGCTCCACAAGAAAGGACATGCTTGCTACAATATGAAACTGTCTCAGATCAAGGAGAACTGGTAATTAAGGCAGCTGAGAGCAAAAGGTGAAGAAGAAGGCTATATGTTAAAAATCCTAACCAAATACGTGCATGTACCTTTTGTTTTTTTAAAAGGCTCAGATCCTGGAGTCATGGGATGTGAGAGGGAAACCCTCTTTGTTTTCTAAAAATATATTTCTCATTTTGTAATTACCAAGAGAGACCCAAATCCGTGACTCAAAGGGAAATAAAAATGTGTCCTCTGTGCTTTGGAATGGTTTCTACAAACATAATGCATAAATGTTTGGGTGGGCAAGATCTGCAAACAGGCACAAACACATGAGAACGTGGGAAGGTGGTACTGCTCTGAGAAACAAAAGACACTTTTCCCAGTCTCCCTTTACCTACCTCAATATAAAAGCCTTTCAACGCAACTGGGTTGTTGCTTCTTGTCCATGGCACCCTGACAATACTGTGGTTTTCACTCAAATTTGTCCCTGGCATTTACAGACAGATTTTTGTCTTACCTGAAGGCTGGCTCATGAAATTCCTTTTGTTGGGTGCCGTAGTGGTGTTGAGCATCCAACTATCCTCTGGCGGGGAAAGTGAAGCTCTTTTCTTTCACCTGTAACAGTCTTGGTTGTAAACTCATTTCTGGCAATTTAGCCAATCCTCTTCTGTGAAACCCCCCTTGTAGCTGGAGAAGTGCCGAGCCTGAAAAAAAGACAAAAGACACCTTTCTGAGAAGCTGAGAGACACAGGAGCTGACTTGGAAGCCCTTGGTGGGGGCTTGCACGCCAAGTAGGAGATTTGACAATACCTCCCCTTTGCCCTTCAGTTTACCACCTGCTCTCCTCTGATGGAAGGATTCAATTCTTTTGCAAAACACAAAGCTGTGAAACTTCAGAAATTAAATCCATGCAATGCGATCCTCTTGCCTCCTTTTTCACAAAGCTGTCAAAATAATGATGTATTCATGGTGTTTTACTTGATGTGTGAAATTTCCAGCACACAGATATGAATCAAAGCATTCTGTGCTGTTTATCCTCTCAAAAGGATTTTGAGCTGCTTTCTTTTAATAGATGGAAACTATAATTTTAGAAGGTGGGTAGAGAAACTTCTCTTTACGCTTGAGTGGACAGCTCAAGGTGATAAGGGAAGTGCTTGGGAAGCACAGCAAGCAAAAATGTTTTATGTCCAGTTACACCACAGCCATTCCATGTCTTGTCTGATTTAAGAGAGAAGACTCTGAAGTGGAAGAATGCATGAGGATGTATGAATACAGACATGTATATACAGCATTGTTCTCCTCTGGGAGATGCATACTAATTGCAATAGCAGAATTCAGCAGTGGGGAAGTGGAAAACCTGTGCCATTAATGTACGTCTTTGTCTTAGATGGACGTGGCACCTCAAGCCCAGCTGTGCTGCCCAACTTTACTACAGTGAAGTAGTCACCTTGTTCAAGGCAGTGGCTTTGGGCTACGTTCAATTCACAGGCACATATTAAGCAAAAATACTTCAGCAGAATTGGTTCAGACTGCCAGGATTAGTAAAGAGATCCATTTCTTTAAAGCACAGCTAAAACCAGTTAAGACTAGCTTTGTACGGGAATGTGTTTATTATTTCTTAATTTATTTCTGCATCAAGTGCAGTCAGATTAGAGTGAGAAAACATCAGACCACACATACAAAATGCATGATAAATGACAAAGTTGGGCCAAAGTTCCCAGCTGGGTAAATTGGCACAGACCCTTTGACTTTTTGGACTTTGATGGATTAATAGCCAGCTCGAGACCAGGGCATATTGCCACAGAGATTATAGGAAGTGATTTTCCTTTTGCATTTGCTCTGCTTCTAGAGCTCATCTCTGTTGTCAACCATATATAGGACAGTGTAATGCTGATATAATTCAAACAGTATGTATTCACACTGAAATGGAGTGCACCATGTTTTGGGTACCACCCTACCGTTAATTTGTACTGTGGAACCAAATCCCCATCAAGCAAACAAAAATGTACTCAAAACCTACAGAAATCAATCAAGAAACGTCTTTGTTGGGTGGGGGATTGAACTTGGTTTTTCTTTTATAAAATTTGGGCTTCAATCATGACTGAAAAGACTACAACAGAAGTGATTTAAAGTATCTGTCATGTGACATTTTTTACAAACAGCTACTCACACATGTAAATATTTTTGGAAATATGCAATTCTTACCAGCAATTTATTTGCCATCCCAGAAAAATCACACAGCTGCAGAAGATGCAACGTTTTTTCTCAAGATCTCAAATCTCCTGAACAACCAATTACGTTGATTGAAAATTGGTTATTTCCTTCACCAATTTCCCACCAATCAGGATAACATCACTGCACAGGTTCCTAATCAGGGTTCGTTAGGATAGATGTAAAAAGTTTTATGAGGTCTCTGTTTGGATTACTTCATGCTATTCTTCAGAGGCTTGACTTCTAAAAAATAAAATAAAATCAGCTCATAAGAGCAAATTATATATGAGTGATATACAGGAAAAAAAAGTAGTTGCACTTACAGTAACAGATACCTGACAATAAAATTTTCTACAAAGCCTCTCTCTCTTAGGTGTAACCCTTTTCAGAACAGCCCTGTAAAACAGAAAACAAAATAACTTAATTGGACTTCTCAATGTCACTACAGATTTTAAGAGAACTAAATTCCACCTATAGAATTTTACACATGGCAGAAACATACTCGATTATTTACCCTAATTAACTCTGTAGGCTTTGTATTAAAGAGGATCTTAATGAGCATCATAAAAATCTTATGCATTTCCTTTCTGTGTTCAGAGACTTGAGTTTTAACAAAAAAAACCTAGCATAACATTTAACTTCAGACACAAGGGAAACTACTGAAATGGTTGTTCCAGTTTCTACCTGAATTTATTGGTGCTCTTTCAAATGCCAGTGCTGACGGCTATTTTTCTTTCATAAAAGATGGGGCAAATATCTTGACATGCTGCTGGAACTGGTAAGCAGCTCCCAGGCATGCCTAGGGCAGCAGACCAAGTTAATTCTGTGCCTGTCATCAGACCTCGCAAAATTGGATGTCATGTGCTGAAGCAAGTTATGGCATCTGCAGGGCATTTTACTACTGGAGATTGTGTCTTGCAGCAATGTGACATGAGACACACTGGGAATTAGCCCCAGTCTGCACCTCGCATGCTTTTCAGTTCCCACCTTCTACAACTTCAAGTGTAGACTCTTTAGTATATTCATAAGCCTATATGACCTGGAAATTTTTGGAGGTTCAGTTCTCCAGTTATTTCCTTTCTACCAAGATTAAGGTGCAGGTACTGAGTTTAGTAGTCACCCCTTCTCTGGCTGCAAAAGACTTTTCATCTTTCCCCTCTCTTTATCAAAAACTAGATAGAAAACTGTGCCAGGACAGGAATTACTGACTTCTCCTTAGAAGGCACTGTACCTAAATGGACACAGAGAAGATACCTTATAATGTAGATTTCCCCAGTAGAAAATGTTTTTCTTAATTGTAAACTGGCTATTTTAAAAATGTTCATAGGCATGCTTTAATCATGAGCATTTTTGATCAGTGCAGTGCATTTTTTGATACAATATTCTCACAGTGTTGGATACTGCTTTTGCTCTACACTTTCTGTCTCTAGTAAGGTTGTTGCACTTTCTTTTTATTTTGTTTCTCAACTTTAATTAATTTGGTAATTTTTTTTTAAAATGTGTCCCTTTCCTGTGAAAGCTGATTAACAAAATAAAACTTGTGAAGTTAGACATAATCTAAAAAGTAGATCACAGGTATGAAAAGTACCCAGACAAGTACACACATCCTGACAGCAAATTAAAAAAGATTAAAGAAGGTATTTATTATCCCTTGGATGCCAGGTATTACAGCTAAAGTACTGACAGCAGTACTGGGCTCTGATTATCAGTGAGAAGACAGATCATTTTCATTTTAAACATATTTATCAGACTATTCTTCTTAAAAACTGAAAATCAGGGTGAAGGTATGAATGCACGAATGCAGGTATGTACATCAGTGCAAGTTATGTCAACACTGAATCATTTTCAGCATGACAGAAAAAAAATATAGCCACAGAGTCATCCCCTCCTTTGGTTGGCATAGCAAATTTTGAAAGGCTGAATTTCATGTCACAATAAGAAACGAGAAACTGTGAGAGGGCAAAGGATGGAGAAAAAAACAAACTTTCTCCAAACCCAACAATTCTTCCTCTCTGTAGAAAGAGATTTATAATCATGCATTTCCTAACCATGTGAACACCTTCCCAGGAGCAAGGAGTACATATGCTTTCTTTTCTTTTTTTTTAGATGGAACAGAGTTTGAGACTCAGATTGAGTACATGACCCCAAAACTGTCAGTTGACTCCTTTTACCCAGCACAGTCCCAAAGCTCTGAAGATTCACAGAGGCTATCACTGTAATATTACACTGTTGATTAATAGGGACAATTTAGGCTGATAATCTTACTTCATTGCATCCATAAGAACTGAGTCATGGGTGTCTTTTCATCTGCTTTTCATCTCTAAGAACATCAGAAATTTCACCACATTCAGTGACTTAATAGATGATGTGGCTTAGAACTACATTTCACAACAGCAGAGCACCCTGGAGATACACTCACTTGTCATAATATATAAAGTTTCTTCCAAATACATTGTACGTGGCTTTACACTGTTCACTGCAGACCTTGAAGGAAGAAAAGAGTCTTTTCTTGTCTCACTGCTCCCAGGATGACGTTTGAAAGACGGCAAATGAAATATTGGAAAGGAGTCTCAGAGTTCTGTTATATATTTGTTTTTCTCTAAGAAACAGACTGGAAAATGGCTTCACAGAAAGTTACTTCAAAGCAGAATTATGAATGCTATTTACAGAATACCTTGGGCATTAATATTTGACTTGTACAGGTATGTTTGCTAGAAAAAAAAAAAGATATACATCTCTTGTACAATATTAATCAATACAGCATCCCAAGATATGAAGTTGCAGAGTCAGACACCTGCGCAAAATGAAGAGAAGCTCAGCTACTAACTTCAACTGCAATCAGAAATAGATCCCCAACAGCCTGGCTGACCAGCTCTGGTGCCTCAGCATCAGGCACTGAGGTGAGCTTCAAACCATCTGTAGGCAGGTATGCCAATACTAAATACCCCTAGTCTCTTTTTAGGGAAAATTAATTTTTCCTTAGCTGATTGAGTTTTCATCAGTCTTGATTTTTTGGCACATCTTTAGAAAATTGAAAAAAAAAAAAATTGTTTTGAAGTGACATAAAAGGAATAGCTCTTTCTTACGTTTGCACACATGTTAAGTGTTCAAAATAGGAGTTGTTGGTTCTTTTTTGCTCTTGTTACTGTAAATATACATAAATGAAAATACCTTATTCAGCAGCAGCACAAAATTTTTGACTGCTGTTACCACCACAAGAAATTTCCTTTCAAATGGCTTATGAGTGAATGATATACATAGATTTAACCTTTATATATGGTAACACAAAAGCTGAGTGGCATTTTCATTTTATATCTGTGGAAATACGACAGGACAGGCTCAAGCTAGTCTACATATTTTCTAAATATACTTAACTTGGGCATCTCACGGAAGAAAAATTCCACTTATCTTTAGGATTTCTGAGAGCATCTCACGTGAATCACCAGTAGTAAATACTGCACTTCTTTCCTCTATGAATCCAACCATTAACATCATATGACAGTACTGGCTAGGAACACAGAAGGCAAATAATGTTATTCAATGTTTTCTCCTAAACATTGTTTCACTTTTCAATGTTCAACGCACATTCTCTGCTTTTTCATGTTTTCACTTTCATTCATATATAGTGTATATGTGTATATAAGTTCCAGAATTTTAAAAATAAAAACTGAACCCTCCTCCCAACCCAAAAAGGCTCTATTGTGGGACCATGCTGACACTGATATGGGCAACTGGAGGACTGGAACATAGACTGCCATACAAGCCATAACAATAACATGGATTAGCCAAACCCACAGGGGATACTCAAGAATGTCAGGTGTCATGCACCTGCTTAATGGCTGTCAGTACAACACTCCTCCTCATCTTCTTCTGGTTAACTAAAATCCCAAGATATGGGAGGAAGGATGCAAGAAGGAAAACAACAGCATCAGATTGTCCTGTTGCACACTCAGCTCATTTGTCAACTGGCAATGTAATGGTAGGGTCTCCATGAAACCTCACCATCTCCTGCCTCTGTATGACTCTCTAATGTCTCTGAAAAATATGATATGTCCCATGGCTGACAGCCAAGTGAAGATATTTTGAAAGCAGCCCGAAAGCTTGGCACGACTAATTCTGAAAGAACAGACAGGGAACCCTCTGCCCTCCCCAGCCAAGACTAAGACATTTATTTTGGGCAGGGCCTCGTACAATCTCACCTTCTTTCACAAACCCAAAAATGGGTTGTCAGGCTTCTGCCTCACTGACTCATTCCAGGTTGCGAGCCTAATCAGACAACACCTTGACTCTTAGGAGCCAACTTGAGCTGTTTCCACCCCCATGCACGTTACAGACCAACATTTACCAAACTAAGTTTCACAATCACTGTGTGTTTGTGAAAGCTCCCTTACTTAGTTGTAGAACTTGTAACTTGAAAAATGTTGTTATAAAATGTTACAACATAAATAAAGAGTCCTCATTTAAAAAGTAAGCCATAAATGCAGTAATTTCTAATAAACTGCATATTTTACTTGGATTCATTCGGAGCTTGTAAGAAACCTGAGAAGCAAAACCTTTAAAAGTTTGCTAAATACCTTTCAAAAATCAGTTAATTATGGAGAAAATAAAAAAGCCTGTATAAAAAAACTTCAAGCTGGCAAACAGACCAGTGGGCTGTACAAAGATGTCACTATGCTCCAATTCCAGCAGGCTGTTACAACCTGTGCCACAATTCCATGAGTATTTCGATTTCCACACGCAGAAACAGATACATATACTTGAAGTGAATGTCAGTATATAGTACACAAAAATTGTACAAACACACACGAACACACATCAACAAACACACAGATGTTCCATCTCATATTTTCCTTCTCTTGTATGTAATTTTAGAGGGAGTATTGATATACGGGTACGGTGTGTATGACATGGTGACATTTGCTTCTAACAGCAGGAGCCTTTTGTTCTCATTTTGCTTACCTGTCACTTCCTCTTAATCGTATGACTGATGCAGTTATAATCTAATACAACTAGAAGGCACTGCCAAATGCTTAATATTTTGCAGACTTCTCTTCCTTCACTGCAGTCTTGGAGTGCAAGTGGCACAGAAGAAACATGCTTGAACTCACTTGACCTGGACAGCTGCTTGAGTAATGGCTCAAAAATTAACACCAACCGCAAAAAGTGTTGAAGGCAAACTTTTGGCATGTGTCCTTCTTTGTTCTATTGCAGATTTCAAGTATCTTTTTAAGAAAATTAATATAAATAGAGTAGATTGAAACACAAAGATCAGAAACAAAGCAGAAAATTGTTTATAAACAAACTTCTTTCATACAGTGAATTCACAGATGAAGAGGACTTTGTTGTTAAAACAATTTTGAGGGTCTGAATAATGTT